CTCTTTCTTCTGTGCGTTCGACATCAGCGTCTGTTCTGTCGTCTGTCTCGTCTCGGTGGCAGTCTCTCTTGTAGGGCGACAGAGTTCCGTGTCTCCAATAGTTGCATGCTGCCTCCTGCAGTGGCAGCGTACTTAAGGACCGGCAGTCCTTTTTCCCTATTGGCCCATCCAATAGTGGCCCCTGTGAGCAGCCATTGTGTGGTGTCCTCCGTGTGACACGCGCGCCACTGTGATGCACGCATGTGCATGTGTCCTTTCATGGCCTCTTCGTCAGGCGTGACCCCACGGATGGCAGAACCCGGCCGGCGGCTGTCGTTGCGTCCTTCAAGGTCACGCGTCTTTGCTCATTCTGCATGCACCCGCTGGCCTGTTAGTTTCTTTTGTTCTCTTTCCCTCAGGACGACCAGAGCTACGACTCGCGTGCTGGGCCGTCCTTACATGGCGAGTTATGGATGATATTACAAGTGTCTTATTTTCGGACTGAAAAAGACACTGTTGTATTTGCAATTACGCCATATTCACAACTTGTTTATATCCCAAAACCGCGGAAATGGTCGTGAGATGGCATGAAGATATGTATCAGTGTTAAGGAACTTTTTGTCCAACTATTTCTACCGTATACATCATGTCAACACAGAAACCCTGTAACGTTCTTTGGTTTTCTTAACAACACGAGACCCTAGGAGCAAACCGGAGTAAAGGTTTATTAGGGCCTGCTGTTCGCCAATGCTAATATCATCCACGACTCTGCTTCGTTTTTGTAAAACGAGCTTCTATAACGCGGAATCGGAATCAATTATTGCAAAAGAACCCGCTTTTCAATGACGCTAGGCATTGTAATGTAATGGTTAAATTTTTACTCTGCTTGATGATGACGAATACATACAGTACGGCGCCGAATTCGTGCATCATACCGACGTTTGGCAATGATTAATACTGACTTGCTAATCAACATTGAGGAAGTTTGAAAAAATGATTATCGTGCAGCCCATTCTCAAGTCATTTCAGGCACGATAGGATGCTTACTTTTTAACTTGCTAACCGCTAACAAAAAGAAGGTACCGTAAAAAATGGCTACTTAAGTAGTAGGCTGTGTAGAATGTTATCTCGGTTATTTCCTGAAAACTGTGAGGTCAAACCTTCGGCGCTGAGAACATGCATCTTATTCAAACTGCACACCGATACACCAGTTTTCGTGCGATACGCAAGACACTAAAGCGCTTTGCTATTGTAGTTTGTTCATGAGCCTGCTGAATCCGTTCAAGATATGCGCATCATTGAAACTTCGGTAAGGATTCCTCGTGGGGTCTCCGAAAGGCCTTATTTATTACAACTACCTACTTAAAATTTTAAGTAGTTTGTATTACCCACAATCTTCCTGTTTTCTGCACGCTGGCCCTTGATCCAGTAGGGGTTGGATGATGGCATTGAACTACGGTGGGGTCCCTGGAAGACCACCCCATATAATAACCACTTACGCCAGTACATTAAGCAAAAATGGCTTTTTAAATAAACCACCGGTAAAATCGCTTACTTAAAAATTTTAAGTAGAGCGAATTTTCACAACCTACAACCTCCTTCACTACTTCGCATTTATTCTAGTTGGGGTTAGGGGCACTACTAGAAAATGTATCTAGATGACCTCGCCCGGGGTCAGGGGCACTCTTCCGACATACACGCGCTCGCCGTTGGTCCGGTGGGGGGTTAGCCATGATATTTAAGCGTCCTTCAGTGTCCCCGTTTGACGTTTGAGTACGCGCCCCAACTTACCCTCGTAATTTTTTTATTTTACAGATTTATTGCGATCTAATTAGTTCCCTTACATATTCCGCCCCTGCTCTCCCATAAAATCCGGAGCCTCTAAGACCGAGGAGTGCGAAGCGCACCCTCTCCAGGCGGTTCCACGAGGTACTCCTACCGAAACGTCTTCCCGTTTGGTTTATTTCGGGCATCCAGTCAATTCTTTTTCGGCGCATTGCTAGCGATGTCAGTTCAGAAAACAGGAGAAGATTCAATTCACCGAATGACAAATTTTATTGCCATTATAAAGGCCGTCACAGCACGTTTACCTTCTTCCGAATCGTACTCGGTTATTTTCCCATCTGAAAGATTCTTCTTGTCTAGTCCCTTCTGTAGACCTTCGTCTCATAGCTGCCTGCAGAGCTTCTGTCATCCACTCCGGTATCGTATGGCTTGGGTTCACATTTGGTTGCGGAGCCGCTGTCCTCCACCCTGGTATCGTATAGCTTAGTCTCACACCTGGTTGCGGAGCCGCTGTCCTCCACCCTGTTATCGTATGGCTTGGTCTCACACCTGGTTGCGGAGCCGCTGCCCTCCACCCTGTTATCGTATGGCTTGGTCTCACACTTGGTTGCGAAGCCGCTGTCCTCCACTCTGTTGTCGTATGGCTTGTTCTCACACCTGGCTGCGAACCTCCTGTTATCGTAGGCCTTGGCCTCACACCCGGTTCCGGCCATGATGTTGTCCTACCTTGTATCGTATGGCTTGGGTTCACACCTGGTTGTGGAGCCGCTATCCTCCTATCTGGTATTGTATGGCTTGGTCTCGCACCTGGCTGTGGAGCTGTTGTTATCGTAGGCCTTGGCCTCACACCTGGTTGTGGACCTGATGGTGTCCTACTTGGTATCATAGGCCATGTTATCACACCCGGATGCGGATGTGGTGTTCCCTGAGCTTGGTTATAGGGTCTTAGGTCGTTCATATTGCCTCTATAGAAGGAAGAAATTATGTAAAAGTCAGAGTATTAATGGCATACATTGAACACTACTAACCGCAGGCTTGTTTAAGACAAAGTCGGCTGAGCATAAACTGCATACTTAAATGAAGGAATGTTTGTCCTACTGTTAACGAGGTGTGACCTTTTCTTTGATTACATTTGCTGAGACATGCTGTGTTTCTGCGTTTGCAATAGTCTAAGCTATTTCTTGAACAAGTATCGTGCTCCTAACGAAATATTTGTCTTTTAAGTTAATATTTTTAGATGCATAAACCAAGTATATTATGGTCTCTAGAATATTACGCATCTGCATCAAACAGAATCCTTGTGATAGGCACGCTAACCTGTGAATAACTACAAACAAATACTTGTATCTGTGTTCTAGTTAGTTCGTGCAGATTTCCATTACAAACAAAACATCAAATTTGTGATATGGTGGCGGGTCAGTTAACCATGACTTCCCGATAATATACTGCGCCACCTCTTTGGTATAATAACTGGCATTGCATGCAGTA